TGTTTTCTGGCACTGGCACTTCCTCTGCTCCAGCATCTCCTCATCGCTAACCGTGTTGGAGGTTCAGCTGCGACTGTGGAAGGGCAGGAAAAGAAAAGGCTGTGTGTTAGTTTTACAGCAGGCTGGGCCAAAGGCGGCACTGGAAAGCGGGTCCTGGAAGTACAGCACTAACGCGCAGATCCAGATACCGAAAACCAAACACGCAAAATGTGTCAACAACAAACTTGCAGCCTTTGGGCTACAGACACATGTGGAAAATTGCGTTACATGGACATAGGGATCAACTTCTTGTGGGTTTTGCCTTATTTCTTGCCCAGCTCTTTCTCCCATCTCTCTTTTAGGCTGCTGTAGTTGGCTGTGACCCACCATGCTAGTCTCCCAACGGCTTCTGAGGTTAAGCCCTGGTTCTGCCCTGGTTCTTCCCGAGTCCCACGCGGAGTGGACAACTTTTCTCGCAGGTCCTGGGTTTATGTTGCCCGCCGCATGCGTTTTTTTGACTGCATCTCCACCTGTTGGGAAATGTCACCAACTTGTAGGCAGCAAAACAAAAGGAACTCAAAGAGAGAGCTCTAAAGTTACTCACTTCTGTGGCAATCCGTAAGGTGGGGGTCCATCGAGACTGCATTCGTCACCTGCTGACAGAGTATTCAAACGTATTAAAATCTTGATGTATGGTGACCAGCTCTGCTTCTTCTTGCTCGGGGCCCCTGGGACCGCGTCCTGGCCGGTGAGGCCATTGAGCTCAGCAGCCCTGCTGGGACTCCTGGCTCATGGTTTTTACCCATCACGGTAACTACCTCCGTGTTCATCACCATCATCACCAATCTACTGCTACAACAGCAGCAGGAGCCTCAAGAGAAGTCAGTCGATTGCAAAATACAGCCAACAGATAATTAGCAGCACGGAAAAAAAGTATAGGAAAAGAATCGTACAGGTTCCAGCAGAAAAAAACAATCGCCTCAAATCCACCAAACAAACCAGAGCTCACCTTTCTTCTTCTTTGTTTACCAACTTCGTTGGCCACCTCAGAACAGCTGTTCTTCATCTCCCCCTGGGAACTGAGCTGGGACTCTCTCTTTCTCCCCGCATATGCCATCAGCTTTGTCTGAAGTCCCTCCAGAAGCATCTTCAACCTGCACAGCAAATTAGTAAGGGAAGCGTGAAGCGAAGCAACGGTCGGCCTTTTTCACGTACTCTTATGTAAGCAGCACAGCCATGGCGTGCTTCATCTGTAACATGCTCGACAGGCCAAGAATTGCTGACAACAGCCAGCCCTCCAGTGCCACATGTCACTTGGAGGGCCCAAAGTTTACCGGAACGGAGGAAGACAAGACTTCCTTCCCTCCCTCCCAGAACTGCAGGCAGCCTGCATTTGCAAGGCCTTTTGCAGCTTTTTAAAACCATAGGCTCAAGCACAGAAGCCCCTTGCAAGATGGAACGCGAGACTTGAATTTGCTCACAAACGGTTACGGACATGCTTTTACATTAGAGTTCAGTAAAGCTTGACTTCTACACAACGTGATATTTCTTTAAAGCACTAAAAAGCCATGCCTGGTACGTTCTTCCTCCAGTGCGACGTTTCTTCCCCGCGTTTCGTCCAGAAGCGCTTCTGATCGGCATTTCATCTTGGCCAGCTTCTTCACTTCCTTGCTTTCACTCCCACGCTTTCCAAATAGAAAAGATACATCACACACAGAGCACAGGAACAGGATGCATATGCAGAACACGCAGACAGTGTTCTCCACAAAGAAGATAACACGGATCTCCCAGGTCCAGTCTCCTCTCGCAGCTCTCAAGCACACATCTCTCTCCAGTCCACAGCGCACGGCCTACCCATCCAAGGAATCGTGCTGATGAACGCAAGTGCCCCGCATATTGTCCGCCAAGCAGATTCAAAACGCAGTAAGCACCAGGGGAATGAGGAAACGTATAGACTTTTCCCCTGAGGGTGCCCTGCCCAAAACCCCACAGCCCACCGGATCTGTTCATAAATTACCTGCCCACAAGAAATTCAAAGACTAAAACCAGTCATTCCCAGAAGCCGTTCACATACCTGCTGATGTTGGTGTTCCTTTGCAGTCCGTGTTGTCTGAAAGCCAGTTATCAAGTCCTCCAGGCCCTTACGAGCCTACAGCAGCATTAAAAGAAGAAAAAAGAAGTCACGCTAGGACTTTCCTGACCGAAGGTCACACCTCACGGCCTTTCTTCTTCTCTTGGCAGCATCGGTACAACACAGTGTTTGCCTGCCCCACAACGCCACCTGAGCACACAAAATACTGCCTATGGAGGTGTCGTTCCCTCACTAGTTGTGGATTTTCATCTTTGGAGGTCTCCTCGTTGCATTATGGACCCACACCTTCTGGACAAGGAATCCATAATCACTAAAACGGGAAGGTGACCAGAGTACAGGCAACTGAAGAAGTCCTGTCACAGTCTGATGATGCCAGTCAGGCCTCCAGGATGAGGCGCTCAGCACCACGAGAGCCCAAGGAAAGTCCGCAACTGAAGGTACCAAATCCCTCTACTGCGTGACTGTCTGAAGTGCTGCCTGAGGTCTCAACCTCACGACTGGTCTAAAGCAGAAAATACTTAAGCCAGTGCATTACTGTCAACTCCTTAACAAAGACGGCGTTAAGTAGGACTTGCTATGGTCTCAGGGACAACTCGCAAAGCCAGGAAGCTGGGGAATGGTCCAGCAGGACTTTCAGAGCAGCCT